TCTCGGGTGTCTCCCAGAGCTGATACCTAAGGACGCTCAAAGACTGCTTGTAAAGACTCACCCAGCAGCAGCCACGGGTCAAGGAAAGGGCCCAGCTCTTGACGGAAGGTAATGCATCTCTGATGCCAAGAAACGCAGGTGCTGTTGGGATTTCCCAGACCCTTTGCCTGGCAGAGAGACAGCCACCAAGGCCTTCCCCCGCCCCGCGCTGGAGACACCCTACCACACCATCCTGCACTCTGCCTCGGCGGGGTGCCTCACACAAGGGTCTGTGCCCACCCAGTGCCTGCTAAACCAAACCAGGGGGCAGACGTCCGGCCGCTCTATGGCGAGATGCGGCATCTGCTTCTGCAAAGATCGCCACCCTGGAGACTCGACAGGCAGCTCTTCTCTGTCCTCTCCGTCAGGTGTGACCGATGGCGACGCTGATGTGGGACAGGGCGTCTGAGAAGGAAAACTCCAAACCAGTTGTCACCGAGTCAGCGCTAACGCACTGTGGAGCGGCGCGGCTCAACCTGCGCACCAGAGCGCTTCCTTCCAGTGGCTGTGCTCTTTCAAGTCAGCTGCCAGGCCTTTGCGCCGAGGTGCCTCGATGATGACTTGAACCGCTAGCCTTTCTGAGCTAGCCAGGCACTTAGCCATCCATGCCACCCCGCCACTCCTGGCTCCATAAACACTGGTTGACCGACTGAGAGGATTAGGCAGAAGATTCGAGAGAGATTCGGCTTTGGGGGCTGAGAGTAGAAAACACAGGCTTCGGGACGCTGCCCTGTCAGGAGGGATTGGTCTAGGTGGAGGTTCATCACGTGTGGCTCTTAGCAAATGGAGGTGTTATTTCCTTTAGGGAAGCCTCTCTGTCCTGAGAGGTCTCTGTACGTGGAATTCAAGTCCACAGTGACGGGCTTGGCTGATGGGTCTGGTCTGTAGGCACACATAAGACCGGGAGGTGGGATCAGAGAGGCTTCCTAAAGGAAGTGACTACCCCGCACCCCCCACTGTCTGATGTGTGCCTACAGACCGGACCTGTTAGGTAGCCGGATAGGGAGTTTTCGGTCTCTATGCCAAGGTGCCCCTACAGGAGGATGCTGCAGAGAATCAGGAGAGCCCAGGCAGCCATAAAGCCTAGAGGGCATGCCCAGGCAGGCCTTTGAGACAGGAAGTCTGGGCCAGGGGGCTTCATTCAGCCGATGGGTCAACCAGTACCGTTGACCACGCCTCCCAGCAGAGGGTCCTCAACAGCCAGAAACTTCTAGACCACGGCCCTCTTTTCCAGCTGCAGTTTCTCTGGTCTCAGGTTTCCACGGGTGGGGTGAAGTGCCCCGAGGGAGCCTGTGTAAAACCTGAAACTTCTATCCTTTATAAAGACCCACTTGGATCACACACCAGGCTTCAGCGTGAATTTTTTCTCCTGAAAGCCAAGGACCGAGGTATTTCTGATCCGAGAAACCTAACAGGCCCATCAGCCACCCCGGCATGGTGGACTTGACTTCCACGCACAGAGCAGACTGCTCCATTGGGAGCCACGGCTGTGAATCTTCCTGTAAGCAGACCAGTGGGTCTGAGATGCTGTGACCCAGACTGCCACCTGGGGGCTTTGCCCACAGACTAAGCTAAACTGAACATCAAAAACACAACCCAAACCCCTCACTGCCATCCAGTCCGTTCCAACTCACCGGGACCTAGAGGACAGGGTGGAACTGTTCAGAGACGGTAACTCTTTGAGGGAGTGGAAAGCCTTGTCTTTCTCCCTCAAAGCGGCTGGTGGGTTCAAACAGCTGACCTTGTGGTCAGCGGACCAACATGGAACCAACTAAGCTGCCCAGACCCCTTGCCTACAGACAGCATCCTGGC